ATGAAAGCTGGACATCTTGGATAGGACAGTAGATCGATTTTATACCTTACATGGACACCTCTTTCCTTCTGCTAGGTGTTTAATGTGGGTGTGTGAGTTACTCTGCTCAGGAGCTGGGCTGGGTTTGAGCTTTGCTGTTGGTGTGATGTCCTCAGTGCACAATAGGCTTCCAGATGCTCTAGTAATACTTTGTGTTTAGAGTCGGGGCTGGTTTTCCAGAGGGTTTTTCTCAATGTCTGCTCCAATTTCAGCTTTAGACTGTTCTTGGCATTGCATCTCAGAGAGGGCCTGTCTCACACTCTCATAACTCTTTCAGCTGAGATTTCCTGTTTGTTCATTTGTTGAGAACATATTTTCTTTTATAACATTGAGCATATTTGTAATAGCTGCTTCAAAATTCTTTTCTGCTAATTCCAATTCTGCTAATGTCATCTTTGAGTAGGTTTCCATTTCTTTTGAGTATGGGTCACTTTTCCCTTTTCCTTTGTATGTCTAGTAATTTTGGATTGTATCCTGGGCAGTGTGAATCATTATAGAGATTCTGTTTTGTTTCTTTGCAGAAAATTGGGTTTTGTTAGCAAGCAGATAACTTGGCTCACCTCAAACTCCAACCTCTTTCCTTTGGTTGAAATACCTGTTCAGTTATTTTGTCCTTAATTCAACTCCTTGGAATCTGAGTGCTTGTGGATTTCAGAGGTCAGTGAGAGATTTGGGCAGAGTTTTTATGCAGAATTTGAGGCTTTTTTCTTTCTGGTATTTCCCCTTATCCCTCTCTTTCCAGCAGCTTTGGTTGTCCTGAGATATGTCCCCTGCTTCCAGGCAGTAAGGCTGTAGGTTTTCTACCAGATTTTAGCTGTACTACATGGCCTCAACTGGGGCCTACACTCATGCCTACAGCCATAAAACTGGGAAACTCACCCAATGCTATGTCCTTCTTCCAGGTGTGGACTCCTTTCATTTTCTGCCTGCTTTTCATTTCTCTTCAGTGCTTTTAAGTAGTTGATTTTCATATTTTTTCAAGATTTTATAGTTGTTTTCGGCAAGAGCATTGGTCCATTTGGAACTACCCTCTATGAACAGAAGTTGGATATTTAGGCTCTTATTTGTAAACCTACTATTTTGCCTATAAATTTGATTTCGGAAACAATAAAGGAAGAACTGCCTCTACCTGTTTATTTCTATGATTTCTAAAATAAGAGAGAGTTAAGAAGCAGACCTCGTATGCTCATGTTATTGCTACCTGTCTGCTGGAAGTGAACAGAATATCTCCGTGTAGGTTTATCCCTTTATCTGAGCCCTGGATCTCATCCCTTGGGCTTTCACAGATGCTGTTAGCCTCATGCTATTCTTCCCTTCCCCTGTGTCTTCAACTTTACCCTCTCTGCTGGCTCCTCTCCATCATCATTTAAGAATGCTCACATCTCTCTTATGTTAAGAAAAAAACCTCCCTCTCTCCCCTGCTTCCTCCAGCTACTATACTTTCTCTCTTACCCTTGCACAGCTTGTCTCCTTCCTATCTCTCACTCACTCCGCAACACATTCTTACCTTACTTTTGTCCTCGCCAGTGTATGAAATTGCTCTGACCAAAGTTACCATAACCTCCATGTCACCAAGTTCATTTTCACTCCATCAGCTATATGCTGATGATTTCCAAAACTAGGTATTCACTCTGACTTTTCTTCTGAACTCCCTCTCTAACTGCCTGCTCCACATGTCCCTGGGTGTCTCACAGCGTTCTGAAATTCAATGTATTCTCATCTCTTTTCCTCCCATAATACTCTTCCCCTTTCTTATCTCTGTACATGGAACTCCTTCCTTCTCACCTCCATGTCCACTTGGTCAGCAAGTCTGTTGATTCTTCCTAATTGAAGAGCCCTTGAATCTATTTACTTTTCACCATCTCACCTGGTATCACCCAAGTCCAAACCATTCTTATCTCTCCTCTGTACAGTCTAACTCATCATCCTGTGTGCACTATTACCCCTCCAGTCCACTGAAGCCAGAAGGATGCTCACCTAATAAAACCTCCATTGGCTTCTCATTGCCGACAGGGTAAAGTTCAAACTTCTTAATGATTTGCATCGCCTGCATGCTTTGCTCTTGCCTGGTCTGGCCCTCCCAGCCTGCCTTTGCAACCTCAGCTGCTCCTCTTTACCCTCTGCCACCTCACCTGCTCCTTTTTTCCCTCTGCCCTCTGAACATTGCTGTCCTGGATTTCTTTTGGTGTATGCTGAGTGCTCAGCTGGAAACACTCCTCTCCAAGCTCTCCTTTGCCTGTATAAAAGCTATTAATTATCCTTCTAGTCTTAACTCAGATGTCATTTCCTGAGAAGCCTTTCCGGACCTCCTCTTAAGAGCAGGTCACGTCCCTTGCTATGTTCCCGGAGCCCCTTGTACTTGATCTTTCCTAGCATCCCTTACTTGTAATGATTTCTTAAATGTCTGACTTCTGCTCTAGACTCCGAGTTCCACGAGGGCAGGTTTCCTGCCTCCTTTCTTCCTTTCTCTGACCTTTGCAACAAGCCCAGTGCCTAGCAAGTAGTGGACACCCAAATGATTTTTGTTTAATGGATGGATGAAAGACAGGAATAGCTCTATATGGCAATAGAATAGACTCTATTACTATGAAATATAATCTCTCCTGCCTGCCACACTGGACTGTAATACATTAATCTTATTTCCTGAAGAGGGATAAAGTGACAGTTTGACATGAAGATGGAATCTAGCCTGCTTATGTGTAGTAAATGGACACGTGTTCTTCCTGTGACAGGTGCCTCTGAGCAAGTTTGATTCTCACAGTGAAAATACTTCATGAAATGGCAGCAGACTGCATTGTGCCTGTTGAAAATTACCACAAATAATTTTGAAAAGAATAACCTATTGGGGCTTTCAGTACCATTTTGTACATTTTCAGGAAGTAAGTGTTGGTCTATGGTAGGAACTGTCTGCCAAGTTGAGACAGACTTGAATCCTTAGACATGCAATAAGAAGAAGACTTAATCAGGTGTTGGGCAAATGAATCAGCAGTAAATTCTATGAACTTCGTTTCAATTGTGTGCCTTTGTGTGCAGTGTAAAAGAGACAGAAGTAAGGCAACTTAGAAACACTTTCCATGTAGGGAGTGACAAGAGCTTCTGCCTTAGTGGCCACACTCCTTGTTTCGATTCATTTGTCTTTATTACCTTTGTTTTCACTTCTTCATTTGCTGTGTTCTTGGGGAGATTAAGATTTTAGGGAAATGACCAGTTTCATAATTGTAAAATGGAAAATTTGATTAGATTCAAAACGTTAATTTCTGTTTTCTACTATTTCCTTGTTCTGCTTTGTTTTGTCTGTCAGACTTTGCGCATAATATGCTCTTCCTGTGAGGATGAATGCCAGCTGCTGACAGAGTTCAATATTCTGATTGATGCTTGCTTGTAGGCTCTTTGCTCAGAGGTGATCTTTGTTGAAGATAAGAAAGATGTAATGACTCTAGGCTGTGTAAGTCCTATCTTCATTAGGAAAGGAAATCAATCCTTGCTGCTCCCTTCCCCTCCATAGTAGTTTGTAATTACAACCAAATGTTCCTCACATGCTTAGAAAATAAATTTTGGAATAAAAGATGTGCTGTCCTTGAAAGATAATGTCATATGCCATTACTTTTGACATCATGATATTTTGAGAGGGAGTATTTTTTAAATTGTCAGTTCTTAAAAAGAGGTGTTGAATGACCTGTTTGACTAGTGTCCGGTAAATTTTGCCTTTCCCCTTGTTAAAATATGTTTGCTGGGGGGATATCTTGGGCAATGAGACTAATAGTCTTCATTATTTTTTCATATATTGTAAGGGGTGGTGTTTTCCCTCTTCCTAGTCACACATCCCTAACACACCTTGACCGAACACATCTAGTCTGTCCTTTTGCTTGTCGTCCTGGCCTAATGACAGTCTTGTCGGACTTGTAGCCCTAGTAAGAAGTGTGCTGATCTGTGTTTGGGGCTCCCACTACAGGGGTGCAAGTCCTGAGAAAATGGTGTTGAAGCTGGACCCGAAGGATGATAAAGGTAGCCAGGCTAAGGAGGGAATGGAGGAGGAGTATAGGAGGTGAGGGAACAGCTTTTGCCAATGTTCAAGGAACTCAAGAAACTCCAAGACAGCTTGTGTTTGGAAAGTAAGGGAGGAGTAGAACAAGGTGTGGCTGGAAACATAGACGGTAGATGAGTCTGATTGTGTCCTTCACTGAATGCTCGATGTCTGGCGCTTTCTTGTTGTCTTCAGACTAAAGTCCACATACCAGGTCATGAAGGCTCTCGTCAGTCAGCCTCACCCTCACATTACAGCCCCTTTTCCTGCCGCCCTTTCTGTTTTCCTTACACCCCATGTTTTAGCCACACTGGGATTTTATTATTCTCTAACTTGAATGTCCTTTTACCTTTTCTCTGATTCTTGTCTGGCTGAAATACCATTTCCTACCTGTCTTCTCTACGAGTAGAGCCCAGCTTAATGTCATTATGTTGTTGAAGCCTTCCCTCTGCCTGAAATCACAGTGAATGGCTTCTCCCTCTGTGGTTTGATAGCACTTTGTCATTCTGTTGTTCTGATTATCCCATCCTCACTTGTTTGTGGTCGTATGTATGTATGGCTTACCCACTAACTATAGGCATGTAAGGGCAAGGCTTTTATTTAGTTTGAACCTTTAGACCTAGATACAGTAGGGGATCTTTGAATTTTGGTTGAATTGCATCCAAGAGGTAAGTGGCAGTTGATGATTTAGAAGCATTCACCTGTGTCAAATGTATCATTCCCTAGAAATAAAGCATTGAATGTTTTCCCATGTTACTTGTCTACGAATGTTGTTTTGTATAAGTGGGTGGACTCTCTGGGGAATTGAAGCACCCTGGATTGAGAGAGAAGAATGAGCCTCGAGGGTGAGAGGAGTAAAACTCACCTTCTTGCTACTTTTGTTACTTCAAAGTTCAGAGTCAGATTTCTTTATTGTGACCCTTTCCACTTTGTGCAGAGCATCTATTAAGAACATCTTCAACCAGCCGACCTGCTTCTCTGCCGAGAGTACCTGCCATGGAAAGTGCCAAGAACATCTCAGGTAATGACTTTTATCTGAAATTTCCTTAAAAAAAACTCTTCCACAAATTTTAGTAATGGTACTGAGTACTTTCTCTTTAGACTTATTTAACTTTACTTGCTTCTTTAGCTCTTGAGTTGATTTTTTTTCACTCTGAATTTCCTCTATTATATCTTCCAGATTCTATAGAAGTCACATTTCATGGCCCTGATTTAAAAAAAACAAAAACCAAAAACTAGATAGTTCCATTCTTGTAACAAGTAGTTTATTTAGTGCCTAGAGTGGGTTAGATGATGTGCTGAAAATATAGCTTTGTACCAAGTTGGTACAGTTATGAAAGATTAGAATATTTATCCCAAGGCATATCATGACTGTTTTTTTTTTTAAATTTTTATTTATTTATTTTTTTGGTGAGGAAGATTGTCTCTGAGCTAACATCTGTGCCCATCTTCCTCCATTTTGTATGTGGGACGC